GAATTTCCTCATACAAAGCTCCTTTCATACCATCAAACTCAACTACAACCATTTTAACTAACTTTTATCATTCCAACACTTTATTGTCTCCCATATATCATTCAGATTCTTAGAACTAAGAATCTAACTAAATTTTCCGTGTAATCCAAACTTATTTCTAATACTTATAACTTCTTATTCACACCTATGACAAGTCAAATTCCATCTCAAAGTTCCTTTATTAACTCTTTTCCATAAATTCACTTAAAACCACATTCTCTTTAATCTTTCATAACTTTTTCATCTTTTGATTTTTAAGACAACTTAAGCTTTACTTAAGCTTAAGTATCACCTAAGGATCAAAACCCATACTTAAAATTAACAAAACAATCAAGAAATCAGAAAACTCACCTTTACCTTGAGCTTTCACGCAGGGAGAAGAAAGGAGAAGACTATGGAAGCTTATTTTCCTTCTTCATTACCAGTGGGTTTCCTTATCTTATAAAGAAATAAAAATCTTTCTTGTCAAATGACTATTGCCTTTAATTCTTTTAATAATTACTAATAACCCTTCAGGAATTATTTTCAAATAAGTCATTGAACTATTCAATTATTCTACTTTAATCACCAAATTCTGAAGTCTTACAATTTAGTCACTAACCCGGTATTGAGGATGTTACAATTTCGTTACATAACTTTGATTATATTGTCAGACAACCTTTTATCAAATCGGAGATCTGACAATATATGACCACAAACAAACCAATTAGAAAATAATTGTTGTGATGGTTTTTATACGAGCACCAACACAACCACATAAGTATGTGAAAATCATACCAAACACCATAAAAAAACATGTCATAAGAGCAAATAAAATGCGTGCCATAAAATTAGTAACGTCATTAGATTAAACAAAAAGTAAAAAGTAAAAAAGAAAATAGCACACCAATATTGAAAGAAAATTTTAGGTTAGAGAAAAAGAGATTGTCCCATCCAGTGAATGACAGTTGAATAGTTTTAGTAGCGTAACTTTTTGAATGTAGTTATTCCGTGCTTTAAGGGAGAGTTCAAAATTGACACGGATTCGTCGGCATTTGAGCAGCCAAGTGTGTCTGAGAAATGCAGGATGATGGAGCCAAGCCGCCGATCCCGGGTTGCCAAAGCGCAGCCTTTGTTTGGGCATTGAGTCAGAATCCGAGGGTTGTCTCCATGAGAGGGCACCACTGTCTCTGCTGTTGCCATTATCCCCGTAGTATTCCCATTATCTCCGAATATGATAAAATATTATATTCCTTCTGCTTTGCATTCATCAAGGGGACGGTGGTCCATTCTCTGAAAACGACAACTATCTCATCTGGAAATCAACGTTCTAATATTCTCTAAAGTGCTTCTTTGCCTGGAAGCAATGCGTCACATAGTTATCTTCCCCAATAGTCTCACCTGCAATCTAATATTATATATTTTGCCTGCTTTTGAACTGTTGAAGGAACAATGGGTTTTTCTTCTTTTATCTCCAATATGTGGGATCTTATCCCCACCCATAGGATACTCTTATCTATCATCTTTTTATTTAGGAAAACGAATAACAATGGGGCACGACTTACTTGCCCATTTCATGGACATCAATACCCTATTATTCATTTCGTTTTTTCACTTTTTCATCCACATTGCTTTCTTGTACATATCCTATCTTGTGCAATGAAAATTGCATTTAAAACAAAAAGTTGCAACTTCAACTCTAATCAAAGTGATCAATTAATTTCGGGATCCAACGATAAAAGATTTTATTTTCAATCAAAGAAAAAATTAGAATGAGAGCCATAAATTAGTCGAGTGATTCTAATATTATTCTATTTTATGTAGTTCAAATCCCGATATTTGACTTAGAATTATAATACCTTTCTACTTAATAAAGAGACAAAATTAAAATTAAATGTCAATCCCAAACAATTGTTTATCCCCTCTCATAAGAAAACTGAAATATTGGATAATAAATTTTCCTAGTTGAAGCAATAAATATCACTATATACATAAATGTCTTATCTAAATTTTATTCCACTGTACAATTATAATGAATATTATACAAAATCAAACTCAGAACAGTGGAATGTTCGGCAGTACAGTCGTGCCACAATGGAAACATTCTACAAAATTAATAAAAAGAGCCAAAAAGATTAAATAAAAAAAGAATGTAGACCAAGTCGACGCGTGACATATTCGGAAAGTGGTGACTGTGACTCAGCAGAATATGGGGCTTTAACATTAATATACAGGTAGATTGTATTAAAATTCATATAAATATATCACTTGTTAAAATATATCATTATCTTATTTATTTTAATAAATTTTAAAATACATATTTATTAATGATGTATTGAGGTATAATTCATTGGTTCGATCTAAATTTTTATATATATTTGTATCGAATAGATTTTTTTTATTAATTTAGAGTAATTATAGGATAATATTTATTTTAAAGATTTTCAATCATTTGACAATAAAGCTCAAACACCAATGCTGTTTTGGTTCTTAAATTTAAAATTTCTAATTATAACAACGATCTTTTAACCACTGAGATAATTTTATTTGTACTAGCTCTGAAAAGAATTATATATTTGCGTTGCCTTCAAACGTAATATTCTTAGCGTGACAATTTAGCATATTTGCATAGAATAAAAAGCACATTGAATAGGCAAAGATGCTTCCTTTTTTAGATCTTGATCTTTAATAAAAGAAATTATTTTATATAAAAATTATTTGATACATTCTTATTGATATAAATATTAATTAATAACATATTTATGAAGGAAAAAAAACTCTAACAAGAATGTTAATAATAATAATGTTATATTTGGTATAAATATAGCCCTAGAAGATAAGTAATAGAGCTATGACGTGCATTGGTAGAATATTTGATATCTTTGGATTGCTTTAGTCTTAAATGAAAATTAATATTTAATAGGTAGTTCAAATTTATTTTATTCGTTTTCTGTTATAAAAAGAATAATCATCAATCCCAAGAAGACATGTAAACCTTGATAAATTGCAGGAATTGAGTTCCATGCATAATGAAGATAAAAGATTTTGTTCCCTGAAACAGAGAGACGATTAAGAACAAATTCTTTGTTTCCCAAAGCCGAAATGGGTGAAAAATGTTCAAGTATTATTTTATTGGGAATTCACTGATCCTGAGGGAGATGTATGTGGCTTTTTGAACAGGGAATAATGCCCATAATTCAAGCAATATCAACCCACAATCTTCATTTTCAACAGTTTATATGTAAATACCAAACACTTATCCGAAACCAAGGCTCGGTCTCTTTCAATCCCACAGCTTTGGTCCTGTGCCTGTCTTGTCTCCTTCAGCCACTGCCATGGACGAGGGAATGAAACTAATGTATTTGACTCTGACCATCTTTGCCTACTTATACATCAAAATCCCCATGCTGATATACTATATGTCATGCTATAAATTATTTTCATTTTTAGAAGGAAGGAATTTTCAAGTTCGGAGACACAAAACCACATGCTTCTAACTTTAATGCATGAAAAGAAACATAGCTTTATCAAGTGGGAACTTTGATTTTCAAACTCATGGTTAGTGCGATTGACTTCCATCACAAAGGATTCTGCAATTTGAGCCTATACCACTCCATCTGCATATGTTCCTTTGGTTTCGTGATGTTACATAAATCACTCGACTTCAATTCTAATCTTTACTCTCAACAATAACAATTCTATTATTCTAGTTGTGTGGATATTATGATTTTGATTTCAATTTGTTTATGATGTTTTTGTATACAGTTTAAATAATAGCAAAACTATAGTACATGTTACTTACTTTTGTCATTCAACTTTGATTTGTTCATTTACGCTATCAATAATTTTGTTCACTGAACGTTAACTCTCATTATATTGATGATATGCGAAATTAATAAAAATAATTAATTTTTAATTTGATCTCTGAACTTTAAACAAAATATAAATTATAGCCCTACTTTTTTAAAAACACTCTTTTAGCCCTTAATTTTTATTTCATTCATTTTATATTCTTTAAAGAAATCCTAAAAGCTTTTTCAATTTCTCTTTTAGTTTACATTATTGTTGTTCACTATCAAAATAGATCCAACCACCTTCTTTAACAAACGATGGCACCAAAACAAAAATCTATCCTTATTTCCTTAAACTTGATTCGTGAAAAAATTTGTGTTGGTGTTGTAATTTGTCAAACCACCATCATCTAACATCACTTTCAGGTAAGAGTAGTGTCGTTCAACTCCTCATTTCTTCCTCTACAAATATGTATGTGTGTATTTACACTTGTCAAAAAAAAATGTTCCAAACACCTCAAATCCTAAAATGAAACTAAATTCTAAAATTTTATGATCCACCATCATCGGTCGTCATATCAACTCGAAATCAAACTATGTTACTCTCCTTGATTCACTGTTGCAGTTCTTCGGTGGCTACTCCAATCATGGCTAGCTCACCAAGACCAAACTATGTTACCCTTCTTCTCTTGTTTGCATTGGTGTCTTGCGGTGAGTGGTGGATGATTTCAAGTTAAAATTTATAATACTGACTACGGCGGGAGATGGTAGGTGTGTGGCAGTGGTAAAGGTCGTCGGGTCGATAGTTTTTGGGTTCATTTGGGTAAAGGCTTTTGCCGTTTGATGTCTTTGATTTGGATTTGCATCTCGAGTGGTGACAAGGAGTAATTGGTTGAACAATGGTTATTTAAGAAAGGCTTGTGGTGGTGTCATGTGCTTAAAAGTTTTATTAAGAGATTTTAGAAAGCTTAAGAATCAAATTAGAAATTAATCATTTTTTTAACATGCCCACGTCATTAATATAATAGAAGTAAACGTCTTAGTGGCTAAATTATAGCTAATCAATAATGCAAGTGACCAAAATTAATAATTGAAAATTGGGAGACCGAAATCAGAAGATAGCGAAACAGAAGTGACAATTACTATAGTTTATCCTTTTCTGACATTTGCTATAGTTCATCCGTGGAATAAGTTAAGCAGTAGATGCGATAAATTCGAAAAAAAGTTAATTAAACGAGGCAATAATGATTTGAATCGCTTAATAAAGAACGAGATTCCTCCTTGAATTCTGCCCTGTACTCGGATTCTTCACTGTCACCAGCAATCTCCTCTGCTCCAGTCAGCTCCTTAGCCTTTACAGCCTCCAAATCCCAATCCGTTCTAAGCAACACCACCATCATCGTCACCATACACGAGCCCTGTGCAGCCAATAATCCGAGCCACAATCCCTTGAAATCAAACCCGGCAAAGAACGCAAGCCAAACCGCTACCGGCATGCCCACAAGGTAAAAGCAACCGAGGTTTATGTTCGCTCCTACTTTCGGCCTGGCAGTGCCTCTCAGCACGCCGCACCCCGTGGTTTGCGGGCAGTTTCCGAGCTCACATAAACCGATTACAGGCAAAACAAGAGAGGTTAATGCTATGATCTCTCTATCATCTGTAAACATGCTTGTCCATACGTTCCTAACAATTACGGCAAACACGAGTGCCGAAAACCCCAGCATGAACCCACAATGGAGACCTACAACGGCCGCGAGTTTTGCCGTCTTGGGGCGGTTGGCGCCGAGTTCGTTCCCAACCCTTGTCGACACACTGAAGCTTAACGAAGACGGGAATATGTAGATCAACGCTGTCGTTTGAATCAAAATGCCCATCGAAGCAACGGTGGCTCTGGGGTTCAACAACAACCCGCAGAGAAGAATCATGATCTCGTACCACCACCATTCGAGGCAGACGGAAACGCAGCTCGGAATGGCCAAATTCAACAGTGGTTTCCACTCTTTAAAGCACTCCATTGAAAATCCACCCCATGTCTTTTCTTGAACCTTAAAGCAGAGAATATAAATCATCAACGAGCATACAAGGTTGATGTTGGTCCACACGCCGCTAAGAGCAACGCCCTTGATTCCTAACTCCAGGTGCGATACGAGAAGGTAATTGATCGGTACGTGAAGAAGAATCGATAAAACGGCGCAACATGTTAGAGGTAAAGTTATGGATTGTGTTCTAAGATAGATTCTTAATGGGTGCAAAAGGGACTGTGCAAAGAGGTCAGGGATGGAGTAAACCAGATAAGACTGTGCTTCAATGGCTATAGCTTCATCTTGGCCACAAACTATGAGTATTTTCCTCATGTTCATCCACATAAGAGAAATGGGCAACGAGGTAGCCAAAAGCAAGAGCACCGTTCTTTGCAAAGTGATGCCGAGAAGGGTGTACTTTCGAGCACCGAAGGCCTGTCCACAAATGGATTCCATTCCCATGGCGAGACCCGAAAGGATAGAGTAACCAGTGATGTTAGCAAAACCAATGGCGAGCGAACCACCAGCCAACGCAAGCTCGCCGAGGCGGCCGAGAAAGAGCATGGAAATCAATGAGCGGGAGTACAACATGAGGCCCGTTAGTATCATGGGAAGAGCAATCTTAGCTATGGAAAAGGCTTCCTCGAGTGCAAGAGCGACCAAAGGGGCACTTTCAAGCTTTTGGGTGGAGATTTTTATGTTGGAACCTTTGGGGGTTAAGGGTTCGTATAGGTTGGAGCATTTGGAATTTTTAAAAGGAACAAGGTATGGCACGTTTGAATTGCAACTGCAATTGCAAGTGTGATTAGAGGGAGTAAGCTGGCACATTTCTTTTTGGTCTTGGAATTGAGGGAGAGAGCTTGTGTGGAGGATTTGAAGAAAGTGGAGGGTTTTTATAGTGGGTTTTGGGGGGGGGGGGGCGGCGGTCGACTCCATCATTTCAAACTTGATTTAAAATTTTAAACTACTTAACACGCATTTTTACTCAAGTTGACACTAACCCACTTCTCTTTTGAAATCTGGTACGTGTACATGTCGTCTTGTGCTACCAACCATCGAGAGAAGTGCACACTAGTCTGCGATGGTTAAAGATAGAATAATTATTTAAACCGGTCTATAATGATAAAAGATTTTTCTTAAAATGAATTATTGATTGATATTAGAAGCAATCCCTTCTTTTTCTTAAGAATGGTTTAAATTAAACTATTATTTTTTCAAAGAGTAAAAATTATAAAACTTCTCAATAGTAACATATTTTGATTTTTTAAATTATATCTCATTATTATTTTAATATCTGGTTTTTTAAATTTAATTTTTGAATTTTTTAATAAACTAATAACAAGGACCAAAAAATGAATATTGGGTTTCCATACATAAAAAAAACCTAGAGGACTACTAATGTTGTATTTGTGAATTGAAAGTGCATGCCGGGAAGGGGCCCTCAGGGGTAACTTTTTAGTTCAGTTTGTTGTCTTTCTATTGGTTCTTGAAAACCCATTTGGGATTGTGTTTTGGTGGTTATAAAAGTCAAAGTAACCTTTTGTTGCGGGAGATTTGAATGAAATGAAGTACTACAAATATCCTATAAACAAAGGGAACATTGTCCAGTGGCAGGCTAACAATGATGTGTAGGTTGGTTTCTAGAGTAGAGGTTAATTTATGTCATCGTTCCCTATATTATACTTAAACAATACATATTCATGTACTTTAGTTTTGTCCATTTTAATCATATACTTTTTTTTTTACTTTTTTAAAAAATTAATTTTACCCCGAACAATATAATTAAATTATAAGATTTAAAATTATCATATTCAAAAACATAAATTAAATCAATAACTTACACATAATAGACTAATTAATTACAAAATTTGACTCAAAAAAATCTAAAATTAAAAAATAAACGAGTATATGTAGTCTGCTATATATGGTTATGCATGGAAAAATCTATAAATGGAAAGATTGAGAACTATATATGGCGCACTTAAAAGCTTCGTTGTTTGATACCTTACTTGATTGTCCAGAAATTGAGTTTCTCATTTTCTTTCCCAAAGTGTTACCTTTAAGACCCAGTCCAATGCATTAACTTTTCTTATTCATGAATGATGACCCACCACCACCATTTTGGCCGCATCTCGAATTGTGTGGCTAGGGGCGTCTTCCACCTTTCGGCTCATAGTATTCAAATAAAACAACACAATATTATTCCGGTACAGGTCAAGACATGTCGTCGATTTGATGATCTCATAAAAAAAATCAAAAATAATACTTACATCAAAGATTTAAATAATGGTCCACTATTATAATAACACCCATTATATAACAGTAGCGGTGGCATCCAATACCGTTATTGTATAACCGTGATATCTGCAATCATTATTATAATAACGTCTGTTATGTTCGCAATCTTGATAAACGAAATGTAATTGAAAACGCAATCACAACTGCAATTTAAATTCCCGACTTACGTATCATCTATCAAATGATATTGCTGGCGGGACTTGAACCTGATTACAATCGACGGAACATAGTCAGATTAACATTTTCAAAAAATGGTCGATGGAAGTAAAATTTCAGTTAAATAAACGACAAGAAGCTTCTGGTGGAAACCTAGAAAAGACTGGCGTTCAGAATGATGAGGGAAAAGACAATGAGCCTCTTTTGCTGAAAAAATCAGTGGTGGAACGATGTGATGGTTTGATTAATCCTCAATGGGGCTGCATCCCAAGCACCATCAACCACTGTCACAATACTCCGTTGAATTCATGGCCGGACATCAATCTTTGTTTGAATGGGTCTGCCCAAGACTTTTTCTCACATTCCTGTCGGTTTGAAAATGGGAAGACCTTTTGATTTTCCTTCTTTTCACATTGTATATACATTTTGCACGCATGCAACCTTATGAATTCTAACACAGAATAACGTGGGTATGTTTAAGGTTGATGGCTCAAGTGATTGGGACGACACCAGTGGGCAAACATGAGTAATTGTAGATGTTTGTCAGTATGTTGAAGGAAAATATTCAAGAAAAAGCATCCAGTTTCTTCAACCACTGAAAGCTATAGATATATGCTATCGCTACCAAGTTATAAAACTTAATTATGCCTAACCGAATGATAGAGATGGCTAATTTTCAAGTTGAAGAAAAGGATCTAATCAGAGAGGAAGGTTAGGATCAAATATTGAGAAAGAATAATGGTATATTAAGTATTTAAATCTAAAAATTGGGAAGGATAAAGATTTTATTAGACTAATATTTAAACAAAAAAGAACCTAAAATACTATTATGCCAAAACATTTGAGAGGGGCTGTTCCTAAATGGCTTCGTCCCTGTGTCTAATCATATTTGCTCTCAACTTGATCCATAAGCTAATTATAAAACACGTCGGATTTGCTTATAGAATCCAAAAACTGTGAGAATTTCGAACCCCAACACGTTCAGTATTGTATTTCTGAAAGGGGTGTAGAAATGTTATGTCACCAAAGCCATTAGCATAGCGGCAAAAGATTTACCTTACTTTTAAACCTTGGATGACATTGTGTCAAGGGTCCGAACCTACAACATATACCTCCCGACTCTTGATCATGGCCAACCAGTCAAGTCGAATTTAAGTATTATTGAGCTCGATTCGACTTGAAAACTCACGAACCTAAAATTTCCAAGCTCAACTTAAATTCGAAACCATGAATTAAAGCTCGAAAAGCTTGAAATCAAAAAAAAAAATTAAACTTAACTCGGTTGAAGTTCAAACTCGAATCTGAACCTTAAATACATAAAAACCTTATATTGCATTTTAAAAAAAAATCAACACAAATGTTAATATTATTAATAATTTAATATTTAAAAAAACAAAATTTTAATATATTATTTTTTTCGAGTTGCTTGTGAGCTTTTCAAGTCGAGTATCAAGCAGCTCGTTTTGACTCGTTAAGAACTCGAATTTTGTATTTATTGAGTTTTGATCGAATCGATCTCGAGTCGTTCACGATCTGTCTGTCTCATTTACAACCCTATTCCTGATCAACAAAAACTGTTTAAATGAGATTAAATTATATTTGAGTTTGCTGGGCAAATAATATCAAAACTTCAACCGCGGTGTGTCTTGATTACTTATATGGTTCTCTGCTTTGTGTATTTCTTGCTGCTGAGATATGTGTCCAGCACAGCCAGATATAGGGTTTTAATATCACCCAATTGCCATTGGACTATTAATCTAAAACCATATAACAATATATACATATATATTCTTATCAATAAAGCCCATGCCCAAGATTATTATCTATCGAACCAAACTATATACAGAGGATACTAGCAGAGACTTCACAGGTACCTTGTTTAGAATCGTCTTACATATTTTCTGTAAATTAATACATAAATTTTATCTGCATTTGAGTACCATTCATTAACTCAAAAACATCGTCCAGGAGCCATTTATATATGTTGTGTAACTAGGGTTTATGAAGAAGCTTACAACAAATGATAACAAAGAAGCAATAATGGTATATCATTGACATATGAAGCATACATTCTTATATAGCTCAGGTAACAAGATCTAACCCGAACTGCCACTGGTTTAGAAATGGTATATCATTGAGATATGAAGCATACCTTCACTAAAATTTTTATAATTAAATTAAAATTAAATTAAATCTAAAAATTATATATAACACTTATACAATAATTTTTAAATAGAAGATCTCAAAAATTTTAAAATTACAATATTAAATCAAAATCTCATATAAGTTCAATGAGGGTTGGCGTGAACCAAAAGACATCGATGATAAATAAATTGTTGTTATTTTTTGAGGCAGTGGCGGATGCATGTATTGTTTAGGGTGGACACTGAAATCCGAAATTATTTATATTAGTAGTATGTGTCCATCCTGAAAAAAATTTCTGGATCTGCCACTGCTTTGAGGTTTTGGGTTCGAGCATTATGAATTAGGGATGGCAAACGGGTGGGTTGGGTGCGGATACCCCCTCCCCCATCCCCATACCCATCTAATATTTTTCAATCCACCACCCGCCCACCACCCATGATGGGTAAAAATTTTCAAATCCACACCCGCCCACGCGGGTACATTCTCAAATCCATCCCCACACCCACTACCCACTGGAGACGTACCCGGCTAGACCCCCCTGACAGCAAACTTAAGTTATACATAAGCAACAAACATAAAACAAACACGTCCATTAAGAAACATAATAAAATAAACCAAGGATTATCTGAGTTAAGTGTTAATATAGATTTTAAAATACATAAAACACCATAATAAAAGACATAATTAAAGTCTAGAAACATAAATGACAAACACATAATGTTTTTGTTCTTTGGTACAACATTCTAAAATTTCAGGCAATACTTGTGACATCTGATACTCCAATATTACAATCATCATTCTCATAAAACACCATAATAAAAGACATAATTAAAGCCTAGAAACATAAATGACAAACACTATGTTTTTTAGTAAAACAGGAAAGGACAATTGAATTACAAGCATATGATTCAAGGACATTATACATTTATATTTCCCTATCATCTGAGAAAATATCATCGAATTTAACCAAAACAAAAACTGAGAACAGTTAAGTTTTGTCGAAGCAAACTAAGATGATTTAAGACCTCCTAAAATAGTAGCTCTCCAGAAAGGAGAATATAAATATAATTTAGGGGACAAGAACATGGGAAAGTAATAAAGCACAAGGAAGACATTGAATCTCTAAACATATGAAAAACTTTTAAGTACAAAAGAAGATTAGTTTCCGAAGATTATGTTTTAGGAAAATGTAAGATGTAACCTTAGCTTAATAAATTTAAAAATTTTAGAAATAAATAAAATAAAATTCAACAAATGTAAGGACCAGGAAACTCAGTAATTAAAGAACGGAAGTTACGAGCAATTTTTAATTTAAAATACTTTTAGCACTTCGAAAAATTAGAAAATTACAAAATATTCGGTTGAAATTTGAATTTGAAAAAGTCAGTTTCAAAGTTAGCATATTTAACCTCCGTATCTTTTTCCCCGTAGCTAAACAGAGTACTAGAGAAAGCACGAGTGAAACACTTAATTCTATTCAGTGGCGTTAAAAATGGAGGTTTGAGAAGCAACGGTCTTACTCTGTTGGCCTAAAACGTGGGTGCTCAGTGACAAGATACTGATTTGCAGAACATTAAGAAATTAAGCTTAAAACAAACATTGAGATGAATCTAAAAAATAATTAAAAATCAGTACGAGCAAATAAAATTTAAACTCTTAAAATGAAATGCAAAGGAGCTTAAAACGAAATGACTATGGAAATGGCTCTTGCAAAAATTAAATTTCAAGTAAAAAGGGAAGAAACGTACCTGAATAAGCTGGAGAGTAGAGACCAGACGTTTGAAAGATCGGCACAGTAACGAGAGGTTTGAAAGAAAAAAATTTATGCATAAACTTGTCTCTAATATTTGGTTAAATTACAAGTTATATCATATACAATATTAGGATTTATAAATTAGTCTTTAAAATTACACATAAATTCATAATGGTCCAAAATTTAATGGATATTTAGCTGGGTGAGCGGAGTGGGGCGAGCAGATGTGGGGCGGGTAAGGTCTCAAACCATTACCCGCGACGGGTACCACTTTCTAAATCCACACTCGCCCACTACCCAATAAAATTATACACATCCCCGCCCCAAGTAGAGCGGGTGCGGTGTGGAATCCACGAAATTGTACCCGTTTGCCATCCCTATTATGAATTTAAGAGTGTGAACATTCACTATCAAATGGTTGAGACTTATCTTTTAACATATGCTACCTTGTACTTACGTACGTCAGATTAATAAAAAATAAAAATATAGTGATATATGATAGATCGAAGAGGGTCGCTGAGGACAATTATCTCCCTAAATATTTTAAATATTTTTTCTATATTTTCAATTAAAAATCTATTTTCTCTCATTAAAATTTTATAAATTTACTTATTTCTAAAATATTTTTAAAATTTTAAAATCTCATCTTGATATAAGATTTTTATATTCGTTCCTAACAATATACATATTGCTTTTTGGCAATGGGCCGGATGGGACCTTACATTTTAATGGAGAATGGAAGAGCCTATTAATTGGTTTTTAACTATTGATGGGTCAATGTCGATTGTACTGTGGACATCTCTTTATTATACGTATGTGGGTCAGTCAATTCTTACGTAGGATGATAATTTTAAAAGTCATCGTATTTGAATCAATAAAAATTTTAATGTAATAATTATTTGATTGATTACTACATTTTATTTATTAAGTTAATTTGTTTGTAGAGTATTTTAGCTTTCATCAATTTCCCTAGTCAAACGCTACATATATATAATTGGACCAATCTTTTCTTTTTATAGTTTCCCCCTTACCCCATTACATATGGGAATAAGGGTCAGCTAGTTTTTTTTATATAGTTGCATTGAAATTTATCGATAGCTGCATTATCTGGATGTGAATTTGAGTGTATATTTTAAATACTTATTTGTAATAAAAACCTTATTATATTTATATAATATCTGGATGTGAATTTGAGTGTATATTATTCTTAGATTTAGGTATAATTTAACATTAAAGTACTGTATTAGTATAAGAATAAAATACACTACATGTCATTTGATCATGTATTTGATAATAAAAGTCATTTTTTCTTAAAAGTTACAAGCATATTATTTAATTAAAATATTATTAAAATTATGTTATTAATTTAAAATATTAGGCAGAATAGTGATATGGTATAATAATAATTTTAATCATTAAAATTTATACATTCTATCGATTTGATCTAAATTCAAATTAACTCGATAAATTTAATCATTCATATTTAAAAAAATTATTATCGTAATCTTTGTTCTTTTATTAATTATTTATTCTTCTACAATAAATATTATAATAGCATTAACTTTATTTTTTAATATAATAACAATTTAACAATAATATATAACTGTTTTATAACAGAATATATAATTTTAAAAACTAAAAATATTATTGTAGTAAATTATATTGAATATATTTTTTAAATTTAATAATGAAATAATTAATTTATAATGATATTTTAATTAAATAATGTATTTATAATTATAATGAGAATAATGATTCACAATTATCGTCTCATCTCATACTATGGATTAATCCATTGGATAATGGGATATAGCAAGAGTGGCATTGGAGGTGGAGAAGAACCAGTTAATATACAGCTAATCGGGTTTTAAGTGCTGCGCCTGCGCCAGCCGTCTATACGCCCAATACGTGTGCGCTGTTTAGCCTCTTTCTTTTTCTCCATTTCTTAACTTTCTAAACCATCACATCACTCATCTTATCACCATCTCTCGTAACAATGAAAAGGGTTCCGCCCTTTCCCCCGACACGGCCACGCAATTTCCCCCGTTGTTTTATTCCTACCTTATAAATCCATCCCCCCCAACAAATTACTCCTTCAACGATCACGTTACTTTTAAGTTTATAACACAACCATGGCCGATCCTTCAACCAATGAGTCCCCAAAAGAGCAGATTTCACCCGCCCCGACACCTATCAAAATCCCAGACCCTCCAGAGCGATCAGAACAATCGCCTACACCTGGTTTCCCGACGCCTGTTCTATCTCCAGGCGGTAATCCCACATCGGCCAAAAAGCAGCCGGCCACTTTTCGGGGAGTGCGAAGCAGGAGCGGCAAATGGGTGTCCGAAATACGGGAGCCGCGTAAAACCAAGCGTATATGGCTCGGAACGTACCCTACACCCGAAATGGCAGCCGCCGCGTATGATGTGGCTGCTATTGCCCTAAAAGGTCCCAACACCGATCTGAACTTTCCCGATATGATTCTTTCGTATCCCCAAGCGGTTTCTACTTCCGCGACCGATATTCGGGCAGCTGCCGCGCAAGCCGCTGCTGCCCGATTACCCAAGCCTACATCAAAAGACGAAGGTAAGTCTGGAAATGAGGGTACCACGTCAAGTACTAGTATGCAGCCTTCTGGTTCAGCAGGTCAGGAATATATTGACGAAGAAGAGCTTCTAAACTTCCCCAATTTGATGGTGGATATGGCAGGAGGAATGCTAGTAAGCCCTCCCAGCTGGATAAACTCACCTCCCTCCGATGATTCACCGGATAATTCAGATGCAGAAAGCCTATGGGTTTACCCTTAAAGACTAAGTCTACATTAATAAGAGTGATCAAGTGCTGTTTATCTGTTGCAAATCTTGTGAGCTAGTTGTTGATGATGGTCAACAAACTGTTTGTTTTCTCTCTTGTTTTTCCAGTAATACAAAGTGTTGGTCGATCGATCCCCCCTGGAGTTGGACGACTCAGAATGTTTTTCTCTTCCTAGTCGTACGATAGCTTGCTTGTCATCCTCAGAATTTAGAGTTTTTCACTTTTTTCTTTCTGGTGTTTTCTTACGTTAGTGCCTATGAAAAAAAGCCTATTTCTAAGCTAAAAAGTATGTCTGTGTGGTACCAGCCATCCTTCTTTTTTCCAGGAAAGTTAATGTGGGGAATCAGATTTGAAGTAGAAATTGCGATTAACTTGAGAGGTCTTGTATGATGGAGATTCTGAACTGGGATATACCAACTATCAATCCTCTGAATTTCTTAACTCATATGCACGGATTTTGATGATCGAAACTCCATAGCTTTCTTTCTCTAGAGAACCACTGTGTAATCACAAAAAGCGGAAACAATATATATATATATATATCGTGTTAACGGTATAAACTGTTTTAGAAACACGTTTTTGTTTATTTATTTGTTTATTGATTCTTTGATTTGTCTGTTTGTATTCACAACTTAAACCAGCTTTTCTTGTTAGTTGGTATATACTACTGCAGATTGGTACATTTGGGGAAAATGTGTGTTAAGTACGCGTTTGCATATATCTAAAACGAGAAAGATTCAATATACTGAAAAGTATCTACACTCGATTCTGAGATTTGGGAAGTTATAAGTACTTAGGTATTATATAAAAAATAAAACCTTAGAGTAGTTATAATCATAAAGACAATATTTGCAAATATAAATCAATAATCGTATAAATTCAAAGAGAGTATTATCGATTAGGAGCGTTTATCAGCGAGTTAATCACGACTTAGATAGTGCTTAACTCGTTACTCGTTAAACTTATAATAATTTTTAAGGAAAGTAATTAGGGTATTTTTGTGTGTGTAATAAATTAATAATTATTAATTTAATATTTAATATTTTATTATTTTATTATAAAATCAATATATTAATAAATTAGTAGTAATTATTAATTAATAATTTAACATCTTTTTTATTATCTATTAGTAAATTGATAATTATTATTTAAATTTTCTTTTGTTTAATGCAATATTTTTTTAAGGTAACTACTAAAATATTATAAAAAAAATAACAAATTGTTCACAAACTTATCGATTCGAATTGGATATTGCTTGACTCAACTCATTAAAATTTAGAGTCGAATTTGAGTACGAGTCGAGTCAACTTAAGGCGAGCATTAACCGAGTTGGATTCGAACAATTCACGAATGACTCAACTCATTAATCACTCCGATTATCAATTGTGTGATACTTTTTCTAGGAAATAGAATATGTGATATTGCAAACCATTCGAAGTGTTAAGACAACATAGGGTATTTCTTTGTATAATTTATTTATATAATAAAAACTCTCATCAATTAATTAATCATAATTAACCATGATGATGTGACGAGCAACATCTCTAAAATCTCAAATACGAAGAATGGTATGAAAATGGCAAGATTTGAGGCGAAAGTCATGGAAAGAGAAATCAGTGATGCTTTTGGAGAAGGCGTTTTCTTCCAAGGGATCACATTTCCACATGGATCGTTTTTGCAGTTTGAATAAACTTGTATATATATTAGCAAATAGATTATATGTTTCATCTTTGGGTCCCAATCGGTCAAGTCTCATCCACGATATCAATATTGTATTACCGACTCAAACATTTTACAATCTTGGGCATTGATAACTACTCTAATTATTAATTTCATCCCTAATTTTAAGAATTTTGAGAAACTAAAATCTTTTACTTATGTGCAGAAATTAGAAGAAAAAAAAGTTACCTTTTTATTCCTTTAATTGTTTAGGAGGACTGAAGATGTTTGCCGACTTAATTTTGACCAAACACTTCGATCCATATTTTACTATATTTCTTATTGTTTTATTTCTTCCTATTTTTTTCTGTACTTTAACATTTTTTTGTTCTTGTAGTTTTTTTAATCTTTTTAAAGGTAGTATTTATAGTTGACGTTTATTTGATTATTTTATTAATATATTTTAACTTTAAACTTTTAGACTGACTCTTTTATATTGATAGACGTTCGTAATAACTAATTATAAGTCAATATTAAGTTGCGATAAAATGAGTTTGTCAATGTGTCATTATTGTTATATTATTTTTTTTATGTTATTATTGATGGTGTTTATCCTTCACCGTCGACAATGATATTTGTATCTATCATTTTTTTTAAGTTGTTTGGTTGAATTTTTAATAATTTCTTTATATGATAATACACTACTATTCAGTGACTAATTTGTACACTATGATGGTTTAAAGAAAAATGATAGACTTTTGTGATTAATCTATCCTAATTTTATGGACTCTTCTTATAATTATATTATATATATTTTTATTCAATAATACTATCATTATTAGTTCATAATATTCAAGTTGATGTCATAATCAGCAACTAAACTAATTTCTTAGCTCTATAAAATATAAGAACCAAAATAAAGTAGGACTAATTTAAAATTTTCCATAAATGGAGGGATACAATTCAGAATTAGACCTTATGATTTTTTTTTATCTATGTGCAAAGAAGATGTATATGCATTGGGCATAAGTCGGCAATGGAATATGGGTGTAGGCGAAGACGAAGTTTGTTCCCAAAATTTGAAAAGAGTCCGCAACTTAAAAAAGCATAAAAAGAGGGTCAAATTAGTCGCAGAAAGAGGCTCACCTCATCAACAGAATAAGGGTATGAATTACGGAACGGCCGACATAACTCCCAATAGTTTTTACAATGTTCTCCGCACTGTGTTCTTCCACATCAATTAACTCTGATTATTATTGCAATCAACGAGCAGAGTCTGAACTTAATCAATCAATCAGCAAGCTCTCTTTCCTATATGTTTGTGGGGTTAACCTAACCATACCATCGATTACAAAATGGAACAATGGTGTAATAGCATCCGACTAGAAACCCGGCTCGTTAAATCTTTAGTTGTTTTGGGTAGTTCATGGTGGGACATGCAAGCCTGTAACAATAAACCAACTGATAAGTGGGACAATCATAGTACTATGAGAACTACTGTTTACAACTCTCGGGTAATTTTAATTTTTTGGGGCTCGAAAGTGACCACACATCGTTGTACTATGACAATTACTGCTTTATTTACACTGTCAAAACTTTTGTGTGATGGAATGGGAGAAAACTATTACTGTAATAAGTAAAGGGTAGTCCAAATTAAAAGTTCAAATGCTGTGTGGTCAAGTTGCCCAACTTGCCTGAAAAGAGACCATCAACTATGTCTTCACCTTCTTACACCTTTTGAGCTTTTTTCCAGATTTGTTTTTTTCTTTCAATGAAATATATGTTAGAAAAGTCAGCATAGACTATGAACATATATGGCAACCAACATATGTTAGGTCTAATTCTTATATAGGTTTATATACAGTGCATGAATCAACCAATATACATATGAGGTCCCGAGTTCTAGTACCACGAGTGTCAAGGGTATGAATGTTCACTGTCAAATGATTTTAAAGTCATCTTCAAACAAATATTGCTCTGGACTTATCTCGTATTTATTATAAAAAAAAGTTTATTAATAGTGTATTTTTTCCAAAAAAAAAAAAGTTAAGGTCTTGAGATCTAGAGTACTTAAATTTAAGTCGCACCAAGTGTAGGTATCATGTATGTTTTTAATTTAAATTTATTCTGATATAAGTTCTATAATACATGATTCTGTATCGATATTTATTCCAAATTAATAATTTTTTTATAATATATGATTTTCTGTCGATATTTATTTTAGTCAAGGTTTAGATGAATTGGCAAAATTAATATTTAGGAAAAGGAGGTGAGATCTAAGTTGAAAACTTTCAAAATTAATAATTCAAGTCAAAATTACAGATTTTGGTTCCTCTCTTTTGTTGCATGCTTTAGATTTGAATCTTCAGTTGGTCGCATTTCATGAAGAGGTTACAAGAATGGTGGAGCCTTCAATTAGTTTATATGCATTCATTCTTTCTAGGAAGAATGGACCTTCTTTTAGAAAGGAGAAAAGAAGAAGAAGAATTTGGGTCTTTCCAAAAGTGGATGAAGATTACAATGTTGAATTATCAGTCAATGTAGGTTGTCATCCGTTTGAATGCTGGTCACTGTGTTTTATGATTGGGTTTATTCTACAGATTTGTTCATAAATTAATGGGGTAAATGATCACAACATTTATAGAAATGAAATGATTGTAAACCAAGGTTAATCCTTTGTAGCTTGTGTTAACCATCCCCTCCTTATTCAGACACTCATATGTAGACCAATCTATGTCAGGAGTGTCTGTTCGATTCAGACTAAATTTTAAATAAAAAGTTTAAATTTGTGGATTTAAAATAAATTGACCCGAATCTAAACCTACTTTTAATTCGAACCCGGACATAAACACCTCAATTGTGGCGTCATGAATCATATCCCTCCCTCCCCTGCTTGAAAGACTCTGGTTTGAACAAACCCAATATACGTGCCTCCACCGTGGGTGCATAATGCTCGTAAAGTTATAATTAGGGGTGAACAAAATTCGATTCGACTCGAAAAATTGATATTTTTTATTCGACTCGACTCAAATTGACTTTGAGCTACAATTTCATAAACTCAGCTCGACTCAAAAAAATTTCAAGTCCAAATTGAGTTGTAAAATTCAACTCGAATAACTCAATTTTTAGTAATTAGTATATTGAATTTCAAGTTTAAATAGTGTCCTCAACTCTATATGATATATGTATATCATATATGAAGAAATATATATATATATATATATTATTATAAAAAATCATTTAAATTAAAATCAAATAATATTATAATATTATAAATATTTATAATTAAATTTAAATATAAACTAAAAAAAAATTGACTCAACTTGAAAAATTATCAAGTTAACTTCAAGTTATAAAATAAAACCCATCAAAGGGAATATATCAAAAAAATTTACTCAATTTAACTCAATCAAACGCTCGCCCTACTCAAATTTCCCCAAATGCATACAAAATAGGCTTAACAAAGACCGTGAGACAAGTCTTTCTGAATAATCGAAGCGCAAGGATCCATTCAGCCCGATTACGTACAATGGTAAAAACCAGAGTTAAAATAAATATCCAATCGATATAAAATTTTATACATTAATAATCTAAAAAAAAGTTATCCATAGTATTTTTTCTAATTTCATAAGCATAGTTTTAAATTATTCACTTTTAATTAATATTTTAATAAATAAATAAGATATGTGACGGTTTCTTAATTTCACTTGTGAAATAAAAAAATCCAATATTAACATGACTTTTTAATAGAAATGATTATAATATAATATATAATCATAATTTTTCTTACCCAATGACTAACTTAAAATCTTAAGAAAGAACAACATTCATTTCAACTATTAAGACTGCTTAATGGTTTTGATATTAACATTTTAAATAGCAATTCATAATTTATTTGATATGTTTGTAATTTATAAATATTTGAGTATAATTATTGATGTTTAATACATTGACTAATTTAGATTAAGTGTTATAAAGATTCATTATAGAAATAATTTTTCAACCCTTAACAACGACATAATTCATTGAGTGGTTTTAGTAGTAAAAAAATGTTGTTCTCTCTTAGAAATCTCGAATATAAATAATTGCATCGGTAAGATATACGTATGATATTAATAAACTAAGGTATGTTATGATCAGAAAATACCTGTTAAATAAACCCTTTCCCCGTTCTTTTAGTTCTCCCCTATAAATACATCCCCTAAACAAAGTAACCTTTAAAACCCTTCAACCAATTCATAACTATAACACAAATATGGTGAATCCTTCAATGAATGTGCCCTCAGAAGAGCAGCCACCACCCACCCCGAACCCTATCCAAATAACTGACCCTCTTGTGCCAGTGCAGCAGCCACAAAGCCAGTCGCCAGAGCTTGTTCAATCTCCAGGCAGGAACCCCCCATCGGCAAGAAAGCGGCCAGCCATTTACCGCGGTGTACGAAGCAGGAGCGGCAAGTGGGTGTCCGAGATAAGGGAGCCCCGTAAAACGACGCGTATATGGCTCGGGACGTACCCTACACCCGAAATGGCAGCCGCCGCGTATGATGTGGCTGCTATTGCCCTAAAAGGTCCCGACACCAATCTCAACTTCCCCGATATGGTTCTTTCGTATCCCCAAGTGGCTTCTACGTCCCCAACCGATATTAGGGAAGTGGCTGCGCTTGCCGCCGCTGCCAGGTCACCCAACCGATATAGTAATACCGGCCGCACATCAAAAGACGAGGGCAAGCCAGAAAACGAGGGTACCACGTCAGGTCCTAGTATGCAGCCTTCTGGTTCATGTCAGGAATATATTGACGAGGATGAGCTCTTAAACTTCCCCAATTTGGTGGTGGATATGGCAGGAGGAATGCTTGTAAGCCCTCCCAGCTGGATAAACTCACCACCTTCTGATGATTCATCAAATAATTCACATGTAGAAAGCCTATGGACTTACCCTTAAACTGATATTTCTACATAAAGTGTTTGTTTTCTCTGTTTTCTTTTTTTAGGAATACAAAGTTTTGGACGATCGTTTCCCCCTTGGTGGTGGGCGATAGCTTGCTCGTTGTCCTCAGAATTTTAGAGTTTTCACTGTTCACTCTTCCCCCTCTGGTATTTTTCTTACGTTAGTGGCTATGAAAAAAAGCCTATTTCTAAGCTAAAAGGCATTGGGGTCCCTCCCAGAGGTGTCTGTGTAGTACCACCAATTCCCATTTTTTACCAAGCAAGTTAATTTAGCAGATGAAATTTTAAATTCGTAAAGTTTCAATCACATTCCACCATAGGCCATAGCTAGCATGAATATTAAACTGGGATATGCCTACTTATTACTACACATATCTTAATTCTTTAACTGATATGAACAGATTTTGATGCTCAAAACTCAACAACTTTCTTTCCCTAAAGAGAAAAAACAAACACCACTACATGAATCCTTTTATCGTTTCATTTTTTATCACCATTGAATAAATTATATACATATATATCTTTTTACTCATTATAAATGTGATAAAATTTAATATTGATCAAATTATCACGTCATGCTCTCATTAAGATATCTATATATGCACATTGTTTTTTTTAAGGAAATAAAGAATGATATGAAAAGGTAAAATTAATTAAAGTAATAATTTTAATATAACAACAAATAATCAAGTATGTTATAAGAACGAACAATAATAATATTTTTAAAAAAATTAATATATAAATATATATTATAATTAACTTAAAAGGCGCCGATAACGTTAAAGATGTAATCGTCAACAATTAAGACATTCTTCAAGCACTAAAAACAAAAACAAAAACAAAATTTAGGTGATACATTTATGTTAAGAAATCATATCATTGATTATATGTTCAAAGATTCTTGCCTTGTTTACATTGTACCATGAAAACTACTGTTCATCCCTTTTTGTATGTCTTGAAATTCGAAATGCGTAACTTGTTAAAATTTAAAAATTTAATATATATTTAGTATTTTTTTAAAAATATATATAGAATTTTATATATACTTAAAGAATTTAAATTTTATATTTATTATAAAATTCATTTTTTTTCAAAATTCTCATATTTTAAAATAATATATATATTTAAAATTAAGAATGTTTTAGGAAATATAAAAAAATGGTGGAACCTTTGTTCATGTTTAAATGGACCTTATTTTAGAAAGATAAAAAGATGAATTTGTGTCTTTCCAAAAGTGGATGGGATGATAATTGTTGAAGAATTACGATAACAATAGTATTTAATTATAGTGATGTTGATATCACTCAATCTTGCTTACACTTTTTATAAATTCGGCAACTGTGTTTCATGTGCGACATGAATAATTTTTTCCAGAAATTAATGGGGTAAATGATTATATGGCGATATGAAAGCAATAATGTGCATAAATTATATAAATATTAAGAATGGAATCATTAGGTTTTTCCTTTAATGATCTTCGTTCCATGGACAAGGATAAATCATTTGTATAGCGGAAGTGGGACATGTGGTTTTTTTTAAATTAAAGAATAGAATAATAAATATAAAATTTGAGGGATCTCATGTCAACTAAAAAAATTATAAACCAAAAATATTAAGACAAAGATTTAACTTATGTTAGAAATATGAATTTAGAGAATCATATAATAAAAAATAAATAAAGATGAATGTGAGAACAAATAGTTAAATTCAAAAGCTAAATCAACCAGGCTAGAATCCTGTGTAAGTTACCCAAATACAAAGAAAGAAAGGCTTATCCAAGACCCAAAACCCCGTCTTTCCGAATAACCAACGGGCAAGGGTCCGTTCAGCCCATTACAAATATAGAGTTAAAAAAATATCGGATATAAAATTTGATATTTTAATAACCCTTTTATTAAATAAAAATGAGAGTTTTTGCCTTAATTTATGAATAAAATAAATTAAATTTAAATATTTTATTGTGATAAATTTGTATAGTATTTGAATATTAAAAATTAGCTGACTCTATTCCCATATGTAATGGGGTAAGGGGGAGGTAGGGTAGTAGGATGTCCCCAACGTTAGGTTGAGAGCAGCTTCCATAGAAGACCTCCGTTATGAATTACCTCAGTGGGACTCGATCCCACAACCACAAGGTTAAGAGCCTCGCGCTCTACCAACTGAGCTAGACGAGAAATCCATAGTATTTGAATATTAAAGATTATAGAAAATAATTTGAATAGATTATTTGATAATTCATGATAGTTTTTTTTTCTAGTTCTTAAAGTGAAGTTAAGAAGCATGTGTATCTTTAATTGATACATGGATTTTGTCACATTCATATCATGAGTGGAAGAAAATAAAATATTATTTTCTTAAAAAATTTAGAATTAATTTTAAGTTGAGTGATAATAAATTAATATATTATTGTATTAGACACGAATTTGATTCTTAGATAAATATTTTAATTATTTTGTTTAATTTTTTTTGGGTGACCCTATTTAAAGTTATTTAGAAGTATGAACAATTAAAATTGTCATTAAAATATTTAAAGAAGGATGTTTTAATATTATCTTAACTCATTCAAACTCTTAAATAATAATATAAATTTAAAAATGGTCATATAAATTAATAATAGTATAGTTTACCTACAAAATATGGGGAGCTTACGGAAAACATGGAACTTATGCAAAAACTTCAATGGATATTGTGGGGATAAAATACACTTGGAAGGAAGAAAAAGTCAGAAGTGAAAGAATAGGCGGAGGAGTGGGGGATGGGCTATGGGTCGCGCCGTACACGCGCTCTAACGCGGCAAAACAAATAAAATAAAATATTCTACAGACGCTCTAACCCATCATCAGTCATCACCACCGCCGCCGTCTCTGTCGTGTGCGTGTCCCTTTGTCGTGTAGTGTAAAAATGGGAGTTAGCAAGTATTTCAACTGTCAACCGTGTATTATGAAAATCGTGTCACGTCACTCTGAAGTGAAAGATACGGGGGTTTGGTCTTTGCCAGCTACCACCTCATCATCTGTTTGAAAGTTCCTTTTGAACTGTCCCCGTCACTCTCACCTCCAATTCATCGCCGATTTGAGTACTTAGGAAAGGGTCAAAGGACGCTGAAAGGAAATCGTCCGCCATACTTGTAAAGAGATAATACAGAAGGTGTCGCTTTTGACTCCGACAGCTAGAGAAATAATAATTTTCTCCAGAAGCTTCATAAGTCAAATCCTCAAAACCACACGTGTCGTCCCCTCAAGTATGAGAAGTTGTTTGAAAAATGGTACAGCTGGCTAAGCAAAACCCAAGCGTGGATCCCCATCCTCCTCTTCACTCCACAAAAGACCTACAGCCTGGATCCTCTTCAACTTCCCGTGTTCGTCCCCCTTCTTTAAATCCACACTTTTGATCTCCACAACTTCTTATATATATTTAAAGCCATTTCATTTCATAATTGTCTTTCACATTCACTCAAAAGTCAAATCCAAGTCTCATCCTTTTATTCCTAAAAAGTTTTTCTTTAGCTTACTCCAACTCAGCTCCCAAGTTCACTGTTGGAACTGTCCAACTCAAATGTTTAATTAACTGAATCTTCAACTTCTTTGACTTTACCGTTTTAATTCATTATTGCTTCGTTTTGGAATTGATTTTCTCGGTCAAGATTATGAGATGATCACTTCTGGGTTTGTTTCGTCACCGATGTCGGATAGTGGAAGTGGAAGCTGTCGTCCGACGAATTTCTCCGATGAAGATGTGATGCTAGCTTCGTGTTACCCGAAAAAACGAGCTGGGAGGAAGAAATTCCGGGAGACACGACACCCGGTATTCAGAGGAGTCCGCCGGAGGGATTCCGGTAAGTGGGTATGCGAAGTGAGGGAGCCTAACAAGAAATCGAGGATCTGGCTGGGGACATTTCCGACCGAGGAGATGGCGGCACGTGCACACGACGTGGCGGCGTTAGCTCTGAGAGGAAAGTTGGCTTGTCTGAACTTCGCAGACTCTGCTTGGAGGCTTCCGGTACCTGCTTCTACTGATCCAAAAGACATCCAGAAGGCAGCAGCAGAGGCGGCGGAGATATTTCGACCCTCTGAGCCATCGCATTCAGACGACGCAAAGAGAGGTGAAAACACGGAGGCGGAGGAAATGAAATGCCGGAAAATGAGTTCTATTTGGACGAGGAGGCAGTGTTTGGGACCAACAAGTATTTCGCAAACATGGCGGCGGGGATGATGATGTCTCCTCCTCGTTGTGGATATACAGGGGATGAACAAGAATTCGATGCTTCCGATGATTATGTACCTCTCTGGAGCTACTCGATTTAATCGAGTTCAGCTTCGAGTATAATTACACAGGAATACTATTTTTAGTATATTTAGGAACCGACAACATTGATCCGTACTTCGTATTTTTGGCAAGTACGGATGGTCTTAAAGTGGGACCAAAATTTGATTCTGACCGGAGTATGTATATGTGTTGTTTTAAGTAGTAATAAAGAGTAATTAAGATTCTCCAATCAAGCTCTTATCCTAATTAAATAGATTGTCATAATTAATTAGCATTCAAAACAAGCTACTTGAAACTTAAAAGATACAACACAATGATTTACATTCAAATTGTATTGTCTTTCTGGACATACAGATTTTCCCAAAAAGAAAAGACTTGAGAGTCTAAAAAACTGGACTTCAAATTGCAGAAACGGGACATTTTAAAGCAGATTCTACAGAAACGCATAAAGACATGAGCCATCGATGTTCTATGCACCGGTTTGGCTCGACCATTTGTCGTAACCATCTTTCGGTTGGGCTCCGAAATTGGGATTCGATTTGAAAAATGTGGTTTGGAGTCGCCACCGACTAAAACGAATTTAGTGGGTCGGACACCATCTTATCTGATCTGCGTTTTACCAGAAATGTGTCGGGTTCGGGAGTCGGTTACGGTCAAGGAAGGATTAGCACCATTGAACCGCCTTTTCGGTACCAATTAATTTGTCGGTTGTCTTAGTTGCGAAAATTCGAAATTTAAATTAAAATTTGACAGACCCGATTCA